GGGGGGGGGGGGGGGGGGGGTACACTAAGCAGTGGTTCACAAACGTTTCATGTTTTGTCTCACAGGGCAGCAGCAGCAGAGACCTGAGCCCCCAGCTGTTGTTGGTTAATTAAACACGTTTTCACGTCAAATAAACACGATCATAAAACATTATTTATTACACTAGTTCTATTTTAACTACACTAATCTTATTATTCTGTAAAAACAAAGGGYAATGTTCTTAGTTGTCATTTTTTTTGCTGTAATTAATAAAAAAATATATTTTTTAAGTGTTCCGTACTTTCACTTTTATACTTTAGGTAGTTTTAAAACCAGTTGATACTTCTACTTCAAAACAGTATTTTTAACCCTAGTATCTGTACTTGTACTTAAGTAATGAATGTGAATACTTATGACACCTCTGATTATTGCAGAAACCTGGACAAACCAAAGTCCAGATATTTAAAGAGCCCTGCTCTGGTTTCAGTAGCTGAAAGTACAGACTGCACCTGAACGCACCACAACCTGATGCTGTGGTTTGGACCTGGTCCTGGATCAGATCCTCAGTCATTATTTACAATAAACACACAAGTGTGTCTTTATTTATTATTCTAGAATGAATCTTTCATTTCTTTACAAATATAAACAGTCTGAGCGCTCCAGGAGATCAACACAAAAACAACAACAAACAACAATAAACACAAACAACAAAACTTACAGCAGCTGCAGGAAATAAACCTGAATTTTCCCTTAAACTTCCTGAAAGTCAAACATGTGACCGTGTGTTTGTTTCAGTCCAGCAGGCGGTGATCCTCCTCCTCCTCCTCCTCCTCTTCATCAGGAGGTCAGGGTTCTCCTCTGTGGAGCTACAGAAGGAGCCAACATCTCCTCTCTGATTAACAGACTCTCAGCAGGACAACAGAACATGGTTCTGGTTCCACCTGCTGAACTTCAGTGGGTCAGGTGACCATGTGGACACACCTGACGGATCAGCTGAACAAACCAGCAAACAGGAAGTGCTACATAAGAAATGAGGAGGCTAACAGCTAGCAGCTACATTCTGCTCAGCTGCTGGCTTTGATTTTAATAAAGAAAATATTTTTTCTTATTAAAATAACTTTTAATGTCTCCTAGCAAACGTTGTGCTAACATGCTAACAGACTCGTAGCTTAACAGGTATAAACCAGGCAGGAACAAAAAGCTAACAGGCTAACAGCTAAGTGGCTGGTGAGTAACAMACAGCAGGCTAATGGGCTAAAGAGCTAACGGCTCCATCAGGACATGATGCCGAACACCGGGTTGTGTCGGCAGATGTTTGGACCGATCTCATCGTAGTCCTTCTTCGAGTGACACACCTGGAAAAACTCCGGCTGTGGATACAACAACACAACACTCAGTGTCAACAACAACACTCAGTGTTAACAACAACAACAACACTCAGTGTTAACAACAACAACAACACTCAGTGTTAACAACAACAACAA